TGCTATGGGTCGGTACTGACTCGATGCACCTAACAGCAACAACAACAACCCTTAGAATGTAAGCTCCATGACGACAAAGACGTGAAGCTCACTAGTTATTAACTGGAAATGATTTTGCCTCCAGGGAACATTGGATAATGTCTGGAGACATTTTTCATTGTCACAATGGGAAAGGGGTGCTACTGACATCCAGTGGGTGTTCTCGTTAGGTGCCATCCAGTTGGTTCCAACTCATAGTAACCCAGTACACAACAGAATAAAACTGCCTAGTCCTGCACCATCCTCACAATCATTGTTATGTTTGCTGCCACTGTGACAAGCCACCTTGCTGAGGGTCTTCCTCTTTGTCAGTGATGTTCCACTTTACCAAGCATGATGTCCTTCTCTAGGTCCATCCTGAAAATATGTCCAAATTACCAGAGAAATTTTGCCATCCTCACTTCTAAGAAGCACCCTAGTTGTACTTCCAAGATAATATAGTACATTAAATATTCTTTGCCAACACCATAATTCAAATTCATGATTCTTCTATGGAATTCCTTATTCATCGTCCAACTTTCCCATGTGTATGAGGCAATTGAAAATATCATAACTTGGGTCAGGCACACCTTAGTCCTCAAACTAACATCTTTGATTTTGAACACTTTAAAGAGGTCTTTTGCAGCAGATTTGCCTAATTCAATGTGTTTGATTTCTTGACTGCTGCTTCCATGAGCATTGATTGTGGATCCAAGCAAATTGAAGTCTTTGACGACTTCATTCTTTTCTCTGTTTATCATGTTATTTATTGGCCCAATTGTTAGGATTCTCATTTTTATTATGTTGAAATGTAATCCATACTGAAAGCTACAGTCTTTGAGCTTCATCAGTCAGTAATTCAAGTCCTCTTCACTTTTAGCAAGCAAGGTTGTGCCATCAGAATATCGCAGATTATTAATGAGACTTCCTTCAATCCTGATGCCACGTTCTTCTTCATTTAACCCATCTTCTCAGATTATTTGATTAGCATACAGATTGAATAAGTATGGTGACAGAATATCACCCTGACACACATCTTTACTTACTTTAAACCATTCAGTAACTCTTGTTCTGTTTGAATGACTGCCTCTTGATCTATGTACAAGTTCTTCATGAACACAATTAAGTGTTCTGGACTACCCATTCTTTGCAATGTTACCCATAGTTTGTTATGATTCACACAGTTGAATGCCTTTGCATAGTCAATAAAGCACACCTAAACTACTTTATGGTATTCTCTGCTTTCAGCCAAGACCTATCTGACATCAGCAGTGATGATCATTGCTCCTTTTTTGAATCTGGCTCGAATTTCTGACAGCTCCCTGTTGATGCTGTAACCAATTTTGAATCATCTTCAACAAGATTTTATGTACATATGATATTAATGATATTGTTAGATTACTTCTACATTTCATTAGGTCACCTTTCTTTGGTATAGGCACAAATATGGATCTCTTCCAATTGGTTGGCCATGTAGCTGTCCTTAAATTTCTTGGCATAGACAAGTGAGCACCTTCAGTACTGCATCAGTTTGTTGAAAGATTTCAATTTGTATTCTGTCACTTCCTGGAGCCTGATTTTTCACCAATGCCTTCAATGCAGCTAGGACTTGTTTCTTCAAAACCATTGGTTTTTGATCATATGCTACCTCTTGAAATGATTGACCATAGACCATTCCTTTTTGGTACAGTGACTGTGTATTTCTTCCATCTTCTTTTGATGTTTTCTGAATCATTCAATATTTTGCCCACAGAATCCTTCACTATGGTAACCCAAGACTTGACTTTTTTCTTCAGTTCTTTCAGTTTGAGAAATGCTGAGAATCTTCTTCCCTTTTGGGTTTCTAACTCCAGGTCTTTGCACATTTCATTATAATACTTTGAAATGTTCTGTTTAGCAATTTTACTTCATCCTTTCTTCCAGTTCTTCTAGTTTCTATAAATTTAAAAGCAAGTTCCAGAATCTCTTCTGACATACATTTTGGTCTTTTCTTTTTTCCCTGTCTCTTTAATGACCTTCTATTTTCTTTATGTATGATGTTCTTGATGTCATCGCACAACTCTTCTGGTCTTTGGTCTTTAGAGTCTAATGCATCAAATCTGTCCGTGAGCTGGTCTCTAAATTCAGGTGGGGTATACTCAAGGTCACGTTTTGGCTCTTGAGGACTTGTTTTCATTTTCTTCAGCTTCTATCTGAACTTGCACAAGAGTCACAGTCTGTCCCTGGCCTTGTTTTGACTGATGATATTGAGCTTCTCCATCGTCTCTTCCCACAGATGTAGTCAATTGGATCTTGTGAGTTTCACATGCATAGTCACCATTTAGTGTGTTGAAAACAGATATTTGCAGTGAATAAGTCATAGTCTTACAAGATTCTATCATTCAACCTCCAGAATTGTTTCTATCACCAAGGTCTTATTTTCCAACTTGTATCCCTTCCTCTTAGTTTCCAGCTTCTGCAATTTCCAACACCGGTAATGCATCTTGATTGTATGGTGATCCATTTCAGACTGAAGAAGTTAAAAGTTCATTTTCATCATCTTTGGCTCTAGTGTTGTTGTTGTTAAGTGCCGTCTAGTCGGTTTCAACTCACAGTGACACTATGTACAACAGAACGAAACTCCACCTGGCTCTGCACCAGCCTCACAAGTGTTGGTGTGCTTGAATCCACTGTTGGTGCCACTTCACCAGTCCATCTTGTTGTGGATCTCCCTCTTTTTCTCTGCCCTTCTATTTTACCAAGTGTGATGTCCTTCTCTAGGCACTGGTCCCTTGTGATAGTATGTCCAAAGTATGAGAGACAAGTCTTGCCATCTTGGCTTCCAAGGAGCACTGTGGTTGTACTTCTTCCAAGACAGATTTGTTGTTCTTCTGGTAGTCCATAATATTTTTAATATTCTCTAACACTATAACCCAAATGCATCAATTCTTCTACAGGCTTCTTATTCACTGTCCAACTTTCACATGCCTATGAGGCTATAGAAAATACCATGGTTTGGGGTCAGGCTCACTTTAATCCTCAAACTAACATTGTTGCTCTTGAACACTTTAAAGAGATCTTGTGCAGCAGATTTGCCTAGTGCAATACGTCGTTTAAGGAGCTCTGGTAGCATAGTGGTTACAAATCGGGCTGCTAACCTCAAGGTCAGCAGTTTGAAACTACCAGCCATTCCACGGGAGAAAGATGAGGCTTTCTGCTCCCATTAAGATTTATAGCCTCAGAAACCCTGTGCAGGGTCACTATGAGTAGAAACTGACTCCACGGCACATAACAACAACAACATGTTGTTTGATTTTTTGACTGCTGCTTTTATGAATGTTGATGATGAATCCAAGCAAAATGAAGTCTTTGATAACTTCAATCTTTTCTCCATTTATCATGATATTATTTATTGATCCTGTTGTGAGGATTTGTGTTTACTTTACATTGAAAAGTAACTCATACCAAAGGCTGTGGTCTTTGATCTTCATCAGTAAGTATTTTAAGTCCTCTTTGCTTTCAGCAAGCAAGGTTGTTATCATTTTCATATCGCAGATTTTTAACGAGCCTTCCTCCAATCCTGATGCCACATTCTTCTTCTTATGCCTTTAGTGATTGGTGTGTAAATTTTAATCACCAGATAATCGTTGTATTGACTGGTCTTGTAGATGTTTGGATATTATCTTATTACAGGCAGCATTGTACTTCAAGATAGAGCCGGAAGTACGTCTTTTATGATGAATGCGATGCTATTCCTTTTCAATTTGTCATTCCCGGCATAGTAAATTATTGGCTAGATAAACGATTGTCTGATTCAAAATGACCAATATCAGTCCATGTCAGGTCACTAAAATGCCGAGAATATCAAAATTTATTCATTCTATTTCATTTTTGATGACTCCCAATTTTCTTAGATTCATATGTCATAGATTCCATTTTCTAATTATTAATGTGTATCTGCAGCTATTTCTTCTTATTTTGAGTTGTACCCCATCAGCAAATGAAGGCCCGAAAGCTTTGCTCCATCCACATCATCAAGGTCAACTCTACTTTAAGGAAGAAGCTCTTCCTCTGTCATACTATGAGTGTCCTCCAACCTGAGGAGCTCATCTTTCGACACTGTATCAGACCGTTTACCATTGCTACTCATAAGGTAGCAGTGGCTTACCTTTCAGAAGTGGTCAGCCTCGCCTTCTTCTTAGCCTGGCTTAGTCTGTAAGTGCCACTGAAGCCCATCCACCATGGGTGCCTCTGCTGGTATTTAAAATCCTCATGGCATAGCCTGTAGCATCACAGAAATACACAAGCCGTCACAGTATGGCAAAGTGACAGATGAGTGGTAGGTAGAGGCCAGGAATACAGTGCAGTATCATACCATACTCTACAATAGAAATGCCTGAATCAGTCAACTCTGTTGTCTTAATTCAGCATTGTGTGCTCAGCACTTAGCCCCATGCCTGACACATACCATGTGGGATTTCAATACGTATCCAGTGAACGACTTAAAGAAGGTTGGACTGAACAGAGACACCCTCCAGGGCTGCTGTTCACATATTGCTCGTCATGTTTCTCTTTTTCTGATATTCTCTCCTCCCCAGGACAATAAGCTCTGAGTACTTTTATAATGGCAACACAAACAAGACAAATTTTCCATGGTCAAGATGATAAGTTTCAAGAAAATCATTGGTAAGTATCTTCTGAAATTGCAAATGAAAAATAAAAATTTTTGCTCATGGAAATTGTAGGGAATCTCTGCCTGAAAGTGGGATTTGGTGAATAAATGGTCATTGCATCATTAAATCTACCCGAGGGTTTAGCTCTACCAGAACCATATGATGAAATGGTTTCTGAACCTGGAGTCCATATTCTATCGGGACTCTACTAGAATCCTTCCCAGTAACAGGAAAACAACAACAAAATTGCTTCTGGAATCTCTTCAGGGTCTATAGGAAAGAAACAAACCAATGGGGAGTGTGGAGTTAAGGTTCAGTGTTGGGCATTGACCAAATCACTTTATGTCTTATAGCATGAGGAGAAATGCTGACAGAGATCCAAAGCAACAAATGAGCCAGAAGGATAACAGTGGACTTGGCCCAAATGCAGACAATGGATTACTGGTTACACATGTAAACCAGACACAGGACTTACTGGTAAAGATCATGGTGTTTGTTGCAACTGAGAAGTGGTGCTAGCAAATATAGTGTTTTACACTCTGGTGGTGGTTATGTGCCACGGAGTCAGTTCCGACTCATAGCGACCCTGTACAGGGTTTCCGAGGCTGCAAATCTTTACGGGAGCAGAACGCCTCATCTTTCTCCCACGGAACAGCTGGTAGTTTCGAACTGCTGACCTTAAAATTAGCAGCCTGATTCGTAACCACTATGCTGCCAGAGCTCCTTTTTACACTCTGCATACTTCTTTATTTGTATAGGATCCCAGGACTGAAAATGATTAGTTAAGCACTCATCTAATCCTCGAAATGATGGGAAAATCTCTATAGAAATTTTACAGCTTTCTTGACTACACTGTTAAATGTTCAAGTGCATGTGAAAATGTTGTCAATCTTATCCAAGCCTGAAGTGTAAAGAATTTAATCCTAAAACTCTCTTTCCTGACGTGTTTTTCTTTGAATTCCTTAAAATATAGACCCAGAAATAAGTTTCAGGAAGTACTATTGTAGCAACAGGGCTATGACAGAAGACTCAACCTCTAGAATAACCAGAATTGTGGTTTTAGACTAATTCTCGATGAGTGAAAGAGATGGTGAGTGTATGGTTTAGAACGAAGAATTTACTGTGCCATGGAACATTTGTCATCATGGTTGTCAGGTGCAAGGTAACCCCCTAGCCAGCTCCCTAATCTACATCAGAACTGAAATATGATACCTTTGAAATGATCACCGATCAAAAACAGTACAATTATAATGCTGGCAATTCAAATTTAAGGACAACAGTCGAGTTTTACTTTTCTCAAGTTTGGCACTCAAGGAAAAGCAAGTCCTTATAAAGGGCATGAGGAAAGGCCAATGGAATCTTGAGATTCTAAAGAAAGTTTTCAAGGACTTCAGCTATTGGTAGCATGGGTCATTGCACCTAATTTCGTAGCAAACTGTATTCACAAGACCTCCCAGGTGTACAAGGACCACTTTTCACCTTCATCAGTCATCTCTGGGGCCTCCTTTGCCTCACAGATGAAGAGCAGTGGGACAGAGGGAAAGGGTTGTCCCCAAACAAGGATCTTACAGAGCTGTCATCTGTGTGGGCACATTGTTGTGAGTTGCTGTCATCTCCAGTTCATGGTGATCTGTGTGTGACAGAACTGATCGTAGCTCAGTCTTACACCATCTTCATGACCGTGGGCTTCTTTGGATCCATTGTTGCAGCCTCTGTCAGCCCAGCTCACTGAGGGTCTCCCGTACCTTCACTGGCCCTCCACTTTACCAAATATGGTGTCCTTCTCCAGCAATGTGTCCTAAGTATGCAAACTGAAGCCTTGGGGTTTTCAGTGGCTCATTTTTGCAAGTAGATTGCCAAGTCTTTCTTCCTAGTCTCCTTGAGTCTGCAAGTCCCACTGAATTGTGTCCACATGGGTGATCCTTCTGGGACTTGAAATGCCTGTGGCATAGCTTCCAGCATCACATTACAGCAGGGACGGGTCTGTTTGTGTTGTTTTGTGGTGTAAGGCACATAAAATATATGCTAGTAGTATATTCAGTATACTCTACGGTCAAATTCTATAATGTGTTTAATAGTAGATCTTAAAATATTAATAATACAAAATACATGTCTTAAAATATCTTTGTTGTTACTGTTGTTAAATGCTGTTCAGTAGGTTCCAACTCATGGATTACTTGAAATGTAAGGAAAATGGAAAAAAAGGTGAATTAAAAGTTTACCATGCTTAGTGTTAATCATGAAGTCTCGGTGTGGCGCTGTAGGGTAAGCACTCGATGACAAGGTTGGTTAGAGCCTCAAGGCCGGTGGTTCAAACCCTCCAGTCGCTCCTTGTTAAGGGGAAGGCACTTAACAGTGTTAATCAACCACAGAGATGATTTAGTTCTGAAAGATGAAGAGATCGCCCTCTAGTGTTCAAATGATGTGGCATGCTGTTTCCCTAAATGTGGGACAGTGATTCCGGTTCTAAGTGGTGCTGCTTAAGGCCAGGCCATTGATTAACACAGAGATATATAATGAGAATGCGCTAACAGTTCTTTCTCAGTCCTTCCTGAGAAAGTCACGGCAATATTGTGTCGTGGTTACCAGCAGGACTCCACCGCTTACTATCCCTGAGACTCTGGGCAAGCTACTAACATTCTTTGTGTCTCAGTTTCCTTCTCAGTAAAGTGGGGTTAGTGACAGATCCTACTTTATCAAATTAAACAAGTTAGTAAATACAGGGCTGGCAGCTCAAACCCACCTGTCATTGTTTGGAAACCCTGTACAGGGTTGCTATGAGTCAGAACTGCCTTGATAACACTTGACAACAACAATAATATATGGCAAATTTTAGCTCTGGTAGCGTAGTGGTTATGAATCGGGCTGTGAACTTCAGGGTCAGCAGTTCGAAACTACCAGCTGTTCCACGGGAGAAAGATGAGGTGTTCTGTTCCCGTAAAGATTTACAGCCTCGGAAACCCTGTACAGGGTTGCTATGCGTCGGAACTGACTCCACAGCACATAACAACAACAACAACAAGTCTTAGTTTAGTGTTTGCTGCAGTTATTAGTGTATTTTCAACTCCTTACCACTTCCCAATTTTGTTTTGAACCATAAGGAAAGCAGGCCTTGAGCTGAAATATAACAGCTATGGTTTATTTTCATTGTTGTTGTTGTTGTTGTTATGTGCTGTTGAGTCAGTTCTAACTCACAGCAAGCCTGTATAGAGTTTCCAAGGAGCAACTGGTGAGCTTGAACTGCCGACCTTGTGGTTTAAACCAACCTTGCGGCCTAGTGCTTTATCCCACTGTCTACTTATCAACAAATCTGAAGGAGAAATTAATCAATAATAAGAATTGTCTATGCAAGAACAATCAAGCCTATGTTCCCAGCTTTGTTGTTGTTGTCAGAGACACCACTCCACAGCATCTGATGACCATGCATTGCTCTTGAGCACCTAGGCCATCAAGTGTCATCGGGTGCCAATGAGTCGGTACCGACTCATAGTTACCCTGTGCGCAACAGAACAAATCACTGCCCAGTCCCGCGCCAACCTCACAATCATTGCTACATGTGACCCCATTGTTGCTGTCACTGTGCCAAGCCATCTAGATAGAAGAGGTCTTCCTCTTTTTCTCTGACCTTCCACTTTACCAAATACAGCTTTACCATACCAATTCTACAGGCTAAGAAAGTGCCTTGTGCAGTGCCACAAAGCTAGGAGTGGAGGGGTCCAAAAGTACTCATTCTTTCCTTCATTTTTCCTGTGCTTCTTTATCTGTTATATCCCATCCAACCCAAGCAGACATTTCCAAGCCCTTGGCCACCACCTAAGGTGGCCCCTGGTTCAGTGGTTAAGAGCCCAACTGCTAACCAGAGGTAGCATAGTGATTACAAATCGGGCTGCTAACCTCAATGTCAGCAGTTCGAAACTACCAGCTGTTCCGTGGGAGAAAGATGAGGCTTTCTGCTCCTGTAAAGATTTGCAACCTCGGAAACCCTATGCAGGGTGCATAACATAGTACATAACAACAACAACAACAACATAGGGTTACTGAGTCAGAATTGATTTCACAGCAGTGAGTTTGGTCTATCACCTCATTGTCTACAGGGAAAAGTCTAATACAAGCCCAAGTAAAACTCACTTAGGTATTGAGCAGGTGCCTAGGAAATAGGTGAAGCCTTCTTGGATTCTGGATTGAGGTCAAATGGATTCAACAGTGCTCGAGACCATTGCATGGTCATCAGATGCTGTAGAGTGGTGACAATGGGCTGAACCAGCCTCCCATTATGAAGCCATTCCATACCCTAAGTATGTGACCTTAAGTATGTGACCAACTCAGGAAGCCTGTAAGGCTCCTCTCTAGAACCTACTTCAGCTCTGCCAACCCACCAGCCAGCGAGATGGTTTAGTTCTGAACGATGAAGAGAGCGCCCTCTAGTGTTCACAGGATGTGGTGTGCTCTTTCCCTAAGTGTGGTTCTAAGTGATGCTGCACAAGGCCTGCACCCATGTCTTGAGCTTAGCATTATGTAAGCGACAAGCCCATTGTTAGGTACAAGTGAGAGAATGGAATCTATTCCATAGCCAGCCTCCTCTGATGGCTAGAAAATGTTCGCCGACAGTTGTCACCCACTGCCCCTACAACTTCACCCACTGCTCTTACTTCTGACCTCTGGCGGGACAGAATAAGCCCATTCCCTCTTCCATCAGTTAGTGACCACATGGGACCACACAGTTAGGGACCACACAGAGGACCCCTCTGTCTAATGGGAAGACAGAACTCACACACCTGAAAAGAAAGAGAACATAAACATGTATGGAAATCATCCAAAGCCAACAAATGAACTGAGAGCTTGCTCATTACTCATGTCTGACAGAGGGTCAAAGGCAGGAAGGGGAGTGGAAAAGCTTGGTGGTGAACAAACAGGAAAAGAGGACAGCTTCCGACATGCTCTGATTCTTGTCCTAGGGAAGCTGGAGGCAGCCTAACTAGAGCTAGGACATCTTCTATCGATGGTCTGAGGACACATTTGTCTTTCTCGGGTTGGTCCTGAGTTGAAAGCAAAGGGGAAAAATAGAGACACTGGTAGACATTGGGCAAGTCTTGGCTGATGTGGGACATTGGTCATTTGGCTTCGTGGGGTGGTTGCTACAGAGGTTGTGAGACAGAGGTCTATTGTCATCTGTGTTCTGACCACTCTATGTTTGTATAGTCAGCGTCACTCCTGGTGTCTCATGGTGAATGATCCCTGAACTGTCAAGTCACAGATTGTAGTTTTCGGTGGCGATGAGATGTGTCAAAGGGGAGGGTGGGTATTGCCAGGGTAACTGGTCCCCAGAGCACAGGTCTCTACATCCAGCTGTTCCAACAGCAGGGGGAGTTCTTAAAATAGTTCTTAAAATAGAATCAGTTAGGTTGGCAACCCTTGGGGATGTGTGTAATGGGAACCCAGGGCACCATCAACCCTGCCCTCTCTTTTCCGTGTTCCGTTTGTCTCGGGATTTTGTCTTGCAGAAGTTACAGGAGCGTGAGACCCTGCCTTTGGTTTGGGAGGACTCTGAAGACTGGCTTTCAACTCACAGTTTACAGTTTCAGAAGCTCACCTTGCCTGACCTGATAAGCCAGGGCACAGCTGTTCTGTAAGTGTGAAGTGTCCCCTCACCCCTGAGCCTGTTTGATGTCCCAGATCCCTGAGCCCAAGACACCCCCTTACAAGGCTTTGCTTCTTTAGGGAGGAGGGCAGCAATGTCCGACAGAAAGTGCATTTCTCCACCGAGACCATCCACCATTTCGAATCAAAGCTTTCCGAGTAAGTATGTTTCTCCCTGTCCTCCCAACACTCCGAGAACATAACACTGTTCAACAGGCGATGTCTGTGAGACCGTGGGCAGATTTCTTTCTACTTTAGGCCCAGTTTCCTCTTTTCTGAGTATTCCCAGTGGTAAACGTGCTTGACTGTTGGCCAGACGGTTGGTGGTTCTGAGAAAGAAAGATGTGGCAGACTGATTTTGTGTAGATGTTGTTGTTGTTGTTATGTGCCAGGGAGTCAGTCCTGACTCATAGCAACCCTGTACAGGGTTTCCGAGGCTGTAAATCTTTATGGGAGCAGAAAGCCTCATCTTTCTCCCGCGGAACAGCTGGTAGTTTCGAACTGCTGACCCTAAGGATAACAGCCCGATTCGTAACCACTACGCTACCAGAGCTCCTTGTAAAGATGTATGGCCTTGGAAACGCTGTGGAGCCATGGAACTCTGTCCTCTAGGATTGCTAGGAATGTGGCACTGTAGGGTAAGCACTGAATGGCAAGGTCAGCAGTTCAAACTCACCAGCCTCTCCTCAGAAACCCTATCCAGGGTTGCTAAGAGTCAGAATGGACTCAGTGGTGCTTACCAACAAGAACTGCAGTCAGAATAGATTCAACAGCCATGGGGTTGGTTTTCTTTTTTACTCAGATGACAAGTTTAGACCAGATCAGTGTTTCTCTGCCTTTGAAAATCCAGTCCCTTTGAAGGAACATAAAATTTCATAGCCTCATGTGATGTTTAATGCTTCAGAGAAACCACAGTTGCATTCCAGCTCTAGAAATCTATGATTCCATAGTTGCTGTTTGTCTGAGAATTCTTAAAAGATAGCGAGTGACCCTGTGCAAAATAGAGCAAAACACTGCCCAATTCTGTGCCATCCTCACAACTGTTATGTTTGAGTCCATTGTTACTACCAGTGTGTCAATCCATCGTCCCAATGTTTTCCGTAGTTTCTTATGATCCACACAGTTGAATACCTCTGCAGAGTCAATAAAGCACAGGTAAACATCTTTCTGGTATTCTCTGCTTTCAGGCAAGATTCATCGGACATCAGCAATGAAATCCCTCTTTCCATGGCCTCTTCTTTATCCAGCTTGAATTTCTGGCAGCTCCCTGTCAATGTACTCCTGCAACTGGTTTTGAATTATCTTCAGAAATGTTTAATTGTGATATTAATGATATTGTTCGATGATTTCCATAGTCAGTTGGGTCACCTCTCTTTGGAATGGGCACAAATATGGATCTTTTCCAATCGTTGGCCAGGTAGCTGTTTTCCACATTTCTTGACATAGACGAGAGAGTGCCTCCAGCACTGCATCAGTTTGTTGAAACCTTTCAATGTTGAAACCTTTCAACATGTAGTGCATCAGTTCCGGAAGTCCTGCTCTGTGCCAATGCCTGCAGAGCTGTTTGTACTTCTTCCTTCAATACCATCGGTTCTTGATCATCGGCTACCTCTTGAATTAGCTGAGCCAGTTCTTTTTGGGACAGTGACTCTGTGTATTCCTTCTATCTTCTTTTGATGTTTCCAGTGCCATTCATTATTTTGCCCACAGATTCCTTTATATTGCAACCCAACGCTTGATTTTTTTCTTCAGTTCTTTCAGCTTGAGAAATGCAGAATGTGATTTTCCCTTTTGGTTTTCTAACTCCAGCTCTTTGCACATTTCATTAGAATACTTGACTTTGTCTTCTTGAACTGCCCTTTGAAATTTTCTGTTTGGCTCTTTTACTTCCTCATTTCTTCTAGTTGCTTTGGCTACTCTACACTCAAGACCCAGTTTCAGAGTTTCTTCTGACATCCACTTTGCTCTTTTCTTTCTTTCTTGTCTTTTTAATATCCTTTTGCTTACTTCATATTTGACATTCTTGATGTCATCCCAGAACTCCTCTGGTCTTCAGTCATTTTTATGATCTTCGGTGTCTAAATTCAGGTGCAGTATACTCAAGGTCATATTTTAGCTCTCATGCAGTTGTTTTAATTTTCTTCAGCTTCAACCTTGACGTCCACGTGAGCAATTGATGGTTGTTTCCACAGTCTGCCCTTTGCCTTATTTTGACTGATATTGAGCGTCCAACGGATATACTCAAGTTGATTCCATGTATGTAGCTGCCTTTTATGTTGCTGAAAAAAAGGTATTTGCAGTGAAGAAGTCATTGGTCTTACAAAATTTTATCATGTGATCTTCAGCATCATTTCTATCACCAAGGCCATGTCTTCCAACTACGACCCTTTCTCCTTGTTTCCAACTTTTGCATCCAATCACCAGTAATTATCAGTGCATCTTGACAGCATGTTTGATCGATTTCAGACTGAAGAAGCTGGTAGAATTCTTCAATTTCATCATCTCTGGCATTAGTGGTTGGTGCCTAAGTAGTGATATTAATTGGCCTTCCTTGCAGGCATATAGATACTATCCTATCACAGATAGCATTGTACTTCAAGATAAATCTCAAACTGTACTTTTTGATGATGAATTTAATGCCATTTCTCTTCCATTTATCATTCCCAGAATAGGGAACCATTTGCTTGTCTAATTCGAAATGGCCATTAACAGTACATTTCAGCTCACTAAAGCCTAGGATATCGATCTTTATGCATCCCATTTCATTTTTGACAACTTCCAATTTTCCTAGATTTATACTTTGTACATTCCATGTTCCCATTATTAATGGATGTTTGCAGCTATTTCTCCTCATTTTGAGTTGTGTCCCTTCAGCAAATGAAGGTCCTGAAAGCTTAACTCCATCCACATCATTAAGGTCAACTTTATTTTAAGGAGGCAGTTCTTCCCCAGTGCCTTCCAACCTAGAATGTTCATCTTCTGGCACAATAGCTGACAATGTCCTGTTGCTATTCATAAGGCCTTCAATGGCTAACCATTCAGAAATGGTCTGCTTCTTCTCCTTCCTAGTCTGTCTTAGTCTAGAAGTTCAGCTGAAACCTGTCTACCAAGGGTGACCCTGCTGCATTTAAAACACAGCGGCATAGCTTCCATATCACAGCAGCACACAAGTCACCACAGGATGTCAAACCAATAGACGAGTGATGCCAGGGACTCGTAGCTTATGATTACTACTGCATCAGGATTCCATTAAGGGCTGCGTGCATTACCTTTTTCAATCCTCACAACAACCTGAAGTAGCGTATTATTTTTAGGTCAATTCACTAAAAGTCAATTGTTGAATTAACCGTTCACTGAATGATCAAGTTGCCAAATTTATCAAAACAGTTTAACAATCAATAATATAGCAAAATGTAAACCAGTTTTAACGATTTGTGCAGCTTTGGTCGATTAATGTTCATTTTGATTATAGAGCAGCATGTTAAGAAATGTTCCAAGTCTATTTCATTAATTGATTATTTGGAAAACTGATTTTCAGAGAATTGGCTTTCTAAATTGATTTTTGGTAGAATTTTTTCTTTTTTTGGTTAGGTACCATTGCATCAGTTCTGACTCATAGCAACCCTATGCACAACAAAACGAAATCCCGCCCAGTCCTGCGTCCTCCTCACAATCGTTTCATGTCTGAGCCCATTGTTGCAGCCACTGAACATAGTTTGATTCGTAACCTTCTTTTTAGGGGTCTTCCTTTTTTCCCCACTAGCCACTACTTTGCCAAGCATGATGGCCTTTTCCAGGGACAAAGTCTCACCATCCTTGCCTCTAAGGAACATTCAATATAAAGAAAACAAAAATTCTCACCACTGGACAAATAAACAGCATTCTTATCAATGGAGAAAAGATTGAAGTTGTCAAGGACTTGATTCTTCGTGGATCAACCATCAACACTCATGGAAGCAGCAGCCAAGAACTCAAATGATGTATTGCATTAGGCAAATATGCTGCACAAGACCTTTTTAAAGTGTTGATGAGCAAAGATGTCAGCTTGAGGACTAAGGTGCACCTGATCCAAGCCATGGTATTTTCAATAACCTCATATGCATGCGAAAGCTGAACAGTGAATAAGGAAGACCGTAGTATTGATGCTTTTGAGTTATGGTGTTGGGGGAGAATGTTGAAAGTGCCATGGCTGCCAAAAGAACCAACAGATCTGTGTTGGAAGAAGTACAGCCAGAGTGCTCCTTAGAGGCCAAGATGGCCAAACTTTGTCTCTCATACTTCAGACATATTGTCAGGAGGGACCAGTCACTGGAGAAGGATATCATGTTTGGTAGGATGGAGGGTCAGAGAAAAAGAGGAAGACCCCCAATCAGATGGATTGGCCAAGTGGCAGCATCAGTGAGCTCAAGCATGGCAACAATTGTGAGGTTGGCCCAGGACAGGGCAGTGTTTCGTTCTGTTGTACATAGGGTTGTTATGAGTCAGTACCAACTTGACTTAATGGCACCTAACAACAGCAAAAAAGACTACAGCCTTCAGTGTGGATTACACCCCAACATAAAGGAAACAAAACTCTTGACAACTGGGCCAATAAGCAGCAGCATGATAAACGGAGAGAAGATGGAAGTAAGATTTTCACTTTGTTTAAATCCATAGCCAACAGCCCTGGAAAGCAACTGTCAAGAACTCAGATTACACATTGCATTGAGTAAACCTGCTGCGAAAGACCTCTTTAAAGTATTACAAAAGCAAAGAGTTTACTTTCAGGATTAAGGAATGCTTGAACCAAGCCTTGGTAATTTCAATCCCCTCATATGCATTCAAAAGCTGGAGAATGACTAAGAAAGGACAAAGAATTGGTACCTTTATGTTGTGGTGCTGGTGAAGAGTACTGAATATACCAAGGAGCTCTGGTAGCATAGTGGTTATGAATTGGGCTGCAAACCACAAGATCAGGAGTTCAAAACTACCAGCTGCTCCACGGGAGAAAGATGAGGCTGTCTGCTTCCGTAACCTGTACAGGGTTGCTATGAGTTGGAACCGACTCCACGGCACCTAACAACAACCAGAAGAATGAACAAATCTGTCCTGGATGAAGCACAGCTAGGATGCTCCTTAGACATGAGGATAGCTCGCTTTGGACATGATGGACCCGTCTCTGGTGAAAGAGAGAAGAGGGTCTTTGAAAAAGAGGAGGACCCTCAACAAGATGGATTAACACAGTGGCTGTAACAATGGGCTCAAACAGCAACAACTGTGAGGATGGCACAGGACCAGGCAGTGTATTGTTCTGTTGTACACAGGGTCACTATGAGTTAGAACCAACTCAGCAGCCTCTAACAACACACACTTGATCCCTTTCACAATTCCTTTGGTTTTTTACCTGGTTACCTGGCAAATGAACACTCGTTTTCTCTTCGTTAGATTCGCCTTATAGCCTCCCTAGTGCTTTAGATATATATATATATAAAACCCCATGCACACCTTCCTTCCATGTGCACTGACTGTTACTCAGTGATAAAGCTAACCTCGGGTGACAAGTGTATTTGATGTTTTGGCAGAGCTATCGAACTCTATCAACAGAGAATTCAGTGGCTCACTGAAAACAGCAAGAAGGTAACAAATGTGGATATTGCTGCTCTTTGCCCTCTTTCACTCATTCTATCTTAATTATTTAGGATGCTTTCTGTTGCAAGTGCTAGATCCCCATTTAAATTGCTTTAATCTAAGTAATGCATTCTGACCCTTATAAAGGAAAAGCCCAGGCACAACTGTATCCAGATGCTCAAATGATGTCATTGTTTCCCATTGTCTCTGGACATTGTTTTCTTTGGATTGGTTTTATCCTCAGCAAGTCTTTCCTCGGGCTTAGAAAGATGATTACCAGCAGCTCTAAGCTTACTTGTCACCAGTTGGAAAGTGCTGAGATTGATTTTTATTGGTCAGTTTACAGCAATCATTACAGTCAAGGAGAGGAGACATCTAACTAGCTGTACCTGGAGCTCATGCTCACCATGGGAAAAGCAGGGATGAGAGAGGCTGAGTAAACCCCACCTAAACCTCATGGACAGGAGCTCTGGTAGTGTAGTGGTTATGAATCGGGCTGTGAACCGCAAGGTCAGCAGTTTGAAACTACCAGCTGTTCCACGGGAGAAAGATGAGGCGTTCTGTTCCCTTAAAGATTTACAGCCTCGGAAACCCCTGTACAGGGTCACTATGAGTCGGAAGCGACTCCACAGCACATAACAACAACAACAAACCTCATGGAGAAAGGACATCAAAGAGTTACACAAAGGTGAACCAGATTCTGAGCAGACAAAAATAGCATTAAAAATTTATTAAAAATCCTATACGTTTTCTTGAAATTTTGATAAAAATGTTTTCCTCAGCATAAAAGAGTTGAATGAGTCCTGGTGTGGCACTGTAGGATAAGCACCGGACTGCTAACCACGAGAGAGGCAGTTTAAATCCACCAACCACTCTTGGAAACCCTGTGAGTCAGAACTGACTCCATGGCACAAAACCACGACAAAGAGTAGATGAGTGCTCATAGGCAAATAAACCTTTGATTCGCTTTCTGATTTGCTTTAGTTTATTTCCCTCCAAAGGACACTTTCTGGTTTCCCATTTGTTTTCACCCCTAAGTAATCCCCAAGTCTTGTCTTAAACTGTGTTAACAGAGATGCTGAGAATCATGCTGCCCCATTCCACTTTTACACGAGACCAGTTGGTGTAGTTCCAGAGTGTAGACTACAACTCAGACCCTGAAGGTCCTTGGCTCTCTTAAACTGTCCAACAAACACTTTTGCAGCTCGGACAAGCCCCCTCGTTTTACACGGAGCACAGGCTGAGAAGCACCCCCATTTTAACCCATTGCTGTAGAGGCCGTTCACACTCATAGCCAGCCTGGGACAGGGTAGTTCAGCCTCAGGTTTTCAAGACTATCATCTTGACAGTAATACACCACCTACATCTTTCTCTGGCAGAGTAGTTGGTGGGGTAGAACCACAAACCTCCTGGTGAACAGCCTAACACTTAAGCACTGTGCCACCAGAATTCCTTAGCGAGAACCCCATGGACAAAATCCTCAGACACCCCAGAAGCATCATCCTGAAAATGTTGCGCTCACCTGCCCATCCCCATTGCACCTGTGCTAACACCTTTGGCAAAGTGAGCAGAGACTGATAGACACTCCCTCCTCCCTGCTCTTTCTGAGACACATGAGGCAGGGAACAAGGCCCAATTAGGTCCCAGGAAAGAGATCACCCGTAAGGAAAGCAGCAGGCCCCTGGATGCTGAGGTAGCTGAGTGATTGGTAGGCAGGCCATCACTGGACTGAGCTGACTTCGAAGCCCAGCATTGATCATCTGGACGTAACTTCCCTTGACAGTTTGCCTAAGCCTTTTCCTCAGACTCCAAGGGTAGACTTGTGCAAGGCGGCCACTGCAGGGATTACAAACAAGTGACTTATGGACCAGTGCTGGTCATAGATATTGTTTTCTTGGCCTCATTGTTTTCAATATTTTAAAGACAAGTTGGTGGTGGTGGTTATGTGCGGTTGAGTCGGTTCCAACTTATAGTGACCCTGCATAGGGTTTCCAATGCTGTAAATCTTTACGGGAGCAGAAAGCCTCATCTTTCTCCCGCGGAACAGCTGGTAGTTTCGAACTGCTGACCTTGCAGTTCGCAGCCCAATTCGTAACCACTACACTACCAGAGCTCCTTAAAGATAAGTTGCTAACATTTAAAAATTGTGGTATTTCACCTTTATGTCTGATTTCAGGTTTCTCTGGTATCACTGGGCTCCAATTCCCTTTTATATATGAGGAGACTTCAAAAAGTTCATGGAAAAATCCCATTGTCTTTTCGTCCAATTTTTCCATGAATTTTCTGAAGTCCTTACATACCTATATAATCATTTTTATGAGATCTGTTTCCGGAGTTTTAATAGCTAGGTTTAAGGGAATTCATGGTTTTAGTTATAAAAGCTATAATGCAATTTTTCAAATATTTAAAGGAATAGAACTGGTTTTAAATTTGAACAACTCCCAGACCGTAAGGATTGTCATGTCCTGGGAAGCCTCATGCTTCATTTGGGTCATTAATTCAATAAATATTTATTGGGTGACAACTGTCACTATCAGGCACTATTTTAGGGACTTGGGTACAATATGAACACAACAAAGCTTTGCCTTCTTGGAACATGCAGTCTAGTAAGGGAGAACAGACAATGAATAAACTAAGGATTACTATGCAAAGTCAGATAGTGATTGTATTGTAAAGAAAAATAAAGCTGGCTTGTTGTTGTTAAGTGCCATTGAGTCAGTTTTGACTCATAGTGACCCTGTATAGGGTTTCCAAGGAGCAGCTGGTGAGTTTGAACCAGCAACCTTGTGGTTCAAGCCAACTTTGCAGTCCACAGTGCCACACCAGGACTCCACAAAGGTCAGAGGAAAGGTATGAGTCAAACCATATGTGGGAACAGTTTGGGCAGCTGCTGGAAAGTTGATTCCAGCTTGTATGGACTCTTGTTAACTTCTGTCAAGTCAGTTCTGACTCATAGTGACCCTGTATAGGGTTCCCAAGGAATGGCTGGTGAGTTTGAATCACCAATCTTGTGGTTTGAGCTGACATTGTAGTCTAGTGCTTTATCTCACAGCACCACACCAGAACTCCATAGGAGGATTGCTGTTGTGCCATCAAGTCAGTTCCGACTCATAACGATCCTGTATAGGGTCCAAGGAGCGGCTGGTGAGTTTGACCCACCAACCTTGTAGTTCAAATTGACCCATAGGAGGGCTGTTGTTGTTGTTATGTGCTGTGGAGTCGGTTCCGACTCATAGCGACCCTGTACAGGGTTTCCGATGCTGTAAATCTTTATGGGAGGAGAAAGCTTCATCTTTCTCCCGTGGAACAGCTGGTAGTTTCGAACTGCTGACTGTGAGGTTAGCAGCCCAATTCGTAACCACTACGCTACCAGAGCTCCTTTAGGTAGAAGGATAGAAAATAGGATAGAAGGAAGTAGGAAGCTTATTTAAATAGAAGGACCAAGAAAACCCTCTCTGAAAAGGAGACCTAAAGGGACTGGGACAGAAGGCCACGTGGAGAGCTATTTCAGAATAGTTCAGGCAGAGAAAACAGCAAATGAAAAGGTTCTGCGATCAAACTAAGCATGGCATGTTCCAGAAGCAGCAAGCAGACCAGGAGCGGTATCACACACAGAGCGAGCCATGTCGAGAGCACAGCAGATGAGGGTAGAGAGCTAGGCAGTTTCCAATCAAGGAGGGCCCTGCAGAGTTTGGATTTTATTCCAGAAATGAAGGGTTTAAGCAGGAGAGTGACATGGGCTCATTTATCTTTCAAAAAGATCACTCTGGCTGTTGTGTAAAGTGATTATAAAGGACAAAAAAAGGGGAAATGGGAAGACCAGGTGAGTCAAGAATGATGGTGGTTTCGACTCAAGTGCTCAGGTTTGGGAAATGCTTGGATTCAGTCTGGATGTATCGGATAGGTTTTTGGTCAGAGTGCCTGGGTGAACGTTTAATGCCACGAAATGAGGAAAACTGGGTGTGCAAGGATGAATATCAAGGGGTCTTGTTTTGAACATATAAAATCTGCAAGGCAGATCAGAAATGTTGATTAGCTGATTGGATGTTCATGGCTAGAACTCAAAGCAAGCGCTGTCTGGAGCCGACACATGAGTAACCATCAGCATACAGATGGTATTTTAAGTCAGAAGACTGCCTGAGATCATTTAGGGATGAGTGCAGAGGAATAGTTCTCAACTAGGGCAATTTTGCCCATCAAGGAACATTTGACCATGTCTGTGACAGTTTCACAACTGGTGGTAGGAGCGCTAATGGCATAGAGTTGGTAGAGACCAAGAATACTGCTAAACATTCTACAATGCAAAGGACAGTCCCCACACAGAGAAATGCCTGGTTCACAATGTCCATAGTGCCAACTTGATGGGCCCTTGTGATGAAGATAAGAGTGGCAGATAGAGCCCAGACCAGTGCTTCTCAAACTGTAACATGTGGTCAGATCGCCTGGTAGTCTGGTTGAAATGCAGATTCTACTAGATAAGTCTAGGGTGGAACCCAAGATTGTGTGTTTCTAGCAAGTTCCTAGGTGATGCTGATGCTATTAGCTATGGTCCAACATCTCCAGCAACAAGGTTCTAGGACATTCCAATATTTAGAGTATGGGATGAGCAAAGGAAAGACTGGTCAGTGACATGGAAACAAATACAGAAGAATGTGGTGCCCTGAAAGTTCAGTCCACTGTTTCTAGTTGCCAAATTCAAGACGCTGTCAAACTGTGTTACATACTTTGTGCTCACAGCTTCACAAAGTCGAGAACTTAGATGTGACCACTGAGTTTGTCAAGAGGGACTTCCTGTTATTTCTCACCTTGACAAATGTGGTTTTAAAGGAGTTGGGGAATCAAGAGCCCAATTTGAATGGATCCCAGAGAAAATGGGAGGGAAGGAAGGGTTGCTATAACAGGAAGCTGAGGAATGAGGGAGAAGTGAGAACTACACCTTGAAAAAAGGTTTATTTCTTTCGGAAGATGGGTGACAACATAGCCTATTTGTATGGTGATGGAAATGATACAATAAATAAACAGAAACTGATGATCCAGGAGAAGGATGATTATAGAAGCAAAATCCTTTGTTAGGCAAGAATGATACAATCCGTTACACAAGTCAAAGACTTGGTCTTCGGGTAAGTGATGCTATGAAAATGCGCAAAGGCAAAGCCTGTGGGCACAGGGCCAAGGAAGTTAGTAGATTCTGTGGTGGAAAGGTTTTTAAAAATTCTTTTCTGGTTGCTGCTGTTTTTTCTGTGAGTTTAGAAGCAAAATCATTTGTTGAAGGAGGGTACAGGAACAAAATGTTGGAGGTATGAGGAGGAACGAGAAAATGTGAAACAGTCATCTCTGAAATTGGTTACCATAGAATGGAAGGAGTTAGGAGAGTAAAGAGCCCCAAGAGTCTGGCATAGAGGGGAAACCTCTAGTTTCTCAGTCAGGAGTGAATTAAACAGGAAAATGAGGTGTCCTTTAAAGTAGGCTATAAGACAAAACATAAACAAAACAAACCACCCCATCGATGGAGCCTACTTCCCCAAAAGGACTATCAATTTCCTATGAATGAAACTTCCAAACCACAATGCAGCTATAACAGGATGAACGTTTATGTGTGGAATCGAGCAATATTGCCAACTATGAAGCGATAGCTGTTAGAAATGTCATTAGAAATTCCCAGAATTACCACTGCTGCCTGTGTGTTTAATTAACAACCTACCTTTGATTGGCAGACTAGGCAGACAATAAACGCAAATATCAAGAAATTAAAGTGTGGAGCTGTGGGCTAATGTGCCTGACTGCAAAGCTGTTGGAACTGCAAGGTCGGCGGTTCCAGCTCACCAATAGGTCCTTGGAAACCCTATACAGAGTCACTATGGGTCGGACCCAACGCGACGGCACTTAACAACAACAACAACAATGTCATTAGATATCAAACTTCATATCTTACAAGCAAGATGCTTTTCCATAGTTTCAACTTTTTTATAATGAATTTGTGTTACTTTGATACAGACAGACAATAAACATTAGTTTTCTTTGAGACGTTCGCAAGCTTCTTTTAGTTTTCTTTAGGAGTCCTGGTGTGGTGCTGTGGGTTAATGCACTGGACTGCAGTCAGTTGATCTGCAAGGTCGGTGGTTCAAGCTTACTAGAGGCTTCTAGGAAACCCTATCAATACAGGGTCATAATGGGTCGGAACCGACTCGATGGCACATTCACATTGTTAGACTTTTTCTAGGCTTTCTTAGGCTTCTTTTACACTTTCTCTTCCTTTGGACTCCTGATGTGGTGCTGTTGGACGGACGCTAGACTGCAAACCACAAGGTCGGTGGTTCAAACTCACCAGCTGCTCCTTGGAAACCCTACACAGGGTCACTATGAGTCAGAACCAACTCAACAGCACTTAACAACAACAGGCTTCCTTTAGGCTTTCTTAAAGTAAACATTAGGAAAGAAAGTTCAGTCGAGTAGGTTCCAACCCACAGTGACCCTGGGTAGGGTTTCCGAGGAGTCACTGGCGAACTTGAACTGCCGACTTTGCAGTTCAAACCAATTTTGCAGTCCAGCGCATTAACCCCCAGTGCTATACCAGGACTCCAGGGAATAAATGTTGTTAAGTGCCTTCGAGTCATTCTGATCCATAGCAACCCTGTATAGGGTTTTTAAGGAGCAACTGGTGAGCTTGAACTGCCTACCTTGTGGTTCAAACTGACTTTGTTGTTGTTGTTGTTATGTGCCGTGGAGTTGGTTCCGACTCATAGTGACCCTGCACAGGGTTTCTGAGGCTATAAATTTTTATGGGAGCAGAAAGCCTCATCTTTCTCCCACGGAATGGCTGGTAGTTTCGAACTGCCAACCTTGAGGTTAGCAGCCTGATTCGTAACCACTACACTACCAGAGCTCCTTGTTGTTGTTAAGTGCCATTGAGTCGGTTCCGACCCATAACGACCTGAACAGGGTTTCTGAGCCTGTAAATCTTTACGGGAGCAGAAAGCCTCATCATTCTCCCACAGAGCATCTGGTAGTTTCAAACTGCTGACCTTGCGATTCGCAGCCTGATTCGTAACCACTACGCTATCAGAGCTCCTTAGGCTGGCACAAATTAGGTGCAGAGAATGCCCAGAGCTAAAGTCAAGATCTCCGGTCTTGCTTTTTCCTCTGTACACTGGGGCTTCCATGTGCTGCTGCTTGTCAGGGTGAGGATGTTCACATCTGCATCACTCAGGGATGAGCAGTGAAAGGTTAGAAGAAGCACAAAAGACGTTTGTGTTTATTATTTCAGAATGCTCTGTTTGGTTTTAGGCATTTGGCCTCATCAAGGGGGCCAGAGTCGGCCTCCTCATTGATACCTCAACGGTCAGCAGTGGCCCTCAGAAAGAGGAGTTCCAGAAGGACCTCATGGTAAGTCTCCAGCACAGAAAAGCATCTGGAACCACCTCTCCCCTCCCCTTAGTGAGCTTGCTAAAGGCCTCGGTTATTCTGTCATAGCAAATGTAAAATAGAGTGTTTTAGAGAGAACCGTTCACACTTAATTAGCACCTACAGTTAAAGATGTGTGTTGAATTGTGAGAAAGCCAACCACAGAGTCATTTTCAGCTGCAGTGTGAACTTCTAGTGTTCTCCTCCCAGCCTTACCTACCAGCTAGAATTCAAGAGCTCACAGTTCCCTAGAAAGAAGTTGGTGGAGTTGGGAATCAGTTGGAGACAGGGCTTCCCAACCTTTTCTAGAGGAAGGATCTATTCTAGTTTTCTTTGGCATGTCCCTAGAGGAGACACTCTATGCCTTAATTGTTGTAGTTGTTATGTGCCATGGAGTTGGTTCCGACTCATAGCAACCCTGTACAGGGTTTCCAAGGCTGTAAATCTTTGCAGGAGCAAAAAGCCTCATCTTTCTCCCGCGGAACAGCTGGTAGTTTTGAACTGCTAACCTAGCGGTTCACAGCCCAATTCATAACCACTATGCTATCAGAGCTCCTTGTGCCTTAATTATCCCCTCTGAAAATGGGAATGAGAGCCTCCTAGGGTTGCCAACAGGATGAGAAGTTCAAGCAGTAGTGCGCCCAATACAAAGTCTGGCTAGAGAAAAACTTCTTTAGAGGCTATCTTCATATGGGAATCCCTATAGCTTTGGGCAGGGATCACAGTAGCCTGGTCAAGGATCCTTTATAGAGCTCAACATGGACCTCTCACTCAACCTGTGTCAGAGAATAGGACCTTGTCAGTACAGGTTCCCCTTCAGGATGGGGTCACAAAGCCAAGTTTCCAACAGTTCATCACTAGGCCTCGTATTAGCCTAGGCAAGACTCATGTTGGCAACATGCAGGTGAAATTTCCCGCTGGCCAAGAAGAAAAGGAAGTGTTATCTTTACTGTTGGCTGCTCATCAGCTCCTGCTTGAGAGTTTCAGACAGACAGCTGTCATTTTCACTTCCACTGCTCGTCCCTAGATCACATGCCTACTAGAAAAACCACGGGCCCCAACCTCTTAGCCTTCCTTCCTGGGTGCCACAGTTCTAAGGGTGCAGCCATAGTGAATACTGAGATAGGCAGCTTAGAGTCTCATCACACCCACACCCTGCGTACCAGGGTACAGCAGCCCTAAGACTCACTCCAGGAGAGAACTCCAATCATCAGTCAACGGTGCAGTCAGGCTGCTTAGCAGACCCAGGCCTCACTCCCACCAGACACACAGCCAAGCTGGGATGAGCAGCTAACATAACATGCACACACCACTGGTCCCTAGGAGGCGCAAAGGGTGGGAAATGGATGTTATTTTGGGGCTGTAAACCCAGTCAAGTGTTTCAGCACAGATCATGCCCAAAGCCTGGGGGGGCAGTTAAGACAAGAGAGCGGAAGCCAGCCTCCTCATTGCCCTGGTTCTTGGAACGTGGTGTCCTTTTCCCTGGCAGAGCCTCATTGATGAGCAGCTGAGCCACAAGGAGAAGCTGTATGTCCTCTCTTTCAGCAGCACCTGCAGTGCCCTCTGGCCAGACCCCGTGGAAGTCAACACCTCCACGTGAGTGGCTGCCCTCCTGCCCTGCCTCAGCAAGAGTTTATTGGTTCATTTTCTTTCCTAAGTATCAGTGTCCTTGTTCTATGAATAAGGTGTCAACCCCAAGATCCTAGTAGATAAGTGGGTGCAAAGAGTTCACAAAAGGGAAAACACAGGGAGCCAACAATGTTTGGGAAAATGTTCACCCTCATGAACAATCCACACAATGAAAGCCAAACAACCTTTACGAGACCCCATTTCTACTCAGCGAACTAGCAAAGATAGCTTTGTCATTGCTCAGTGCCATTAAGTGAGTTCTGAGTCACAAAGACCCTGTATAGGGTTTCCGAGGAGCAGCTGGTAGATTTGAACCACAGACCTTGCTGTTAGCAGTCCAGTGCTGATCTTACAGTGCCACATCGGGACTCCAAAGATAGGTTTACCATTATGGAAATAATACCTGCTCGTGGTTTTATTATTACCCAAGCAGTACAAAAGGATAAATGATGGCCAGTGAGTTCCCCTCTGACCCTAGATTCCCAATCTTACCTCTCAGAGGTGATTAACAACAACACTGTCTCAGATCTGATTCCAGAAGCATTTGTGAGGAAACCTGTAGCTGTGTGCACGTCTTCTTTGATTTCACCATAAACAGCAGCACGTACTGCTATTCGGCACCTTGGTTTTTTTCACCTAATAATAGATCTTGAATATCACTCTCTGTCCATCTACGTATGCTGTTGTGATTGTTGGTGCCACTGAATCCGTCCTATTATGGAAGCAGTGGTGGCTCAGTGGTAGAATTCTTGCCTTCCATGCCATGGACCCAGGTTCAATTCCTGTCCAGTGTGCTGTATGTGCAGCACCACCCATCTGTTAGCGGAGGCTCATGTGTTGCTAGGATGTCGAACAGGTTTAGGGGAGCTTCCAAACTAAGATAGACTCAGAAGAAAGTCCTGGGAAATGTAGTGAGAACCCGATGGATCACAATGGTCCAGTTCACAACAGTTCATGGAGATGGCACACACTTGGGTAGCTTTTTATTCTCTTGTGCGTGGGGTTGCCTTAAGTCCAGGGCTAACTTAATAGGAGACAGCAATAACTCATTATTTTTAATGACTACATAATATTCCACTACATAGATGAACCACGATATATTTAACTAGTCCTTTATTTGAGGGCTAGTTTTTATGGGGCGTGCAAGAAATTTCTTACTTATACCAGTAAATAGAAATTTCTTTTCCTTTAAGGGAAAACTTTCTTGATCATTCTCCATGTGTAGTCTCTCAATGTTTAAAAGTTATAATTAACTGCTAATTAAAAATCATAAACCCTGACAGTTATAATAGACTTATTAGCAGCCAGTTGAGGTTTTCTTTTATGTCACACTGAAAAAGAAATGGAAAGCTAGGACTCTTTCAGCAGTCCATGGAAGGTACTGAACAAAGAAAGTACCCGCTAAGTCATTTTCCCTCTCGTCATCCACTGGGGAAGTATTTAGCCACACAGCGCCTACCCTTAGAGCCCTCGTAAGGTTAGGGGATTAGCTCCATGCTCCAGGCTGAAGTCTGACTCCTAGGAGAGTTGTGTGTGGGGAACCCTCAAATCGTAAAATGGCTAGAAGTTCATATGGAGGCTGAAATCTGTTTTACTAGTTACCTATATGCCTTGGGCAAGTCACCTAACTCTGAGCCTGTGTCCTCATCTCTGTTGATGTCAGCTGCAGTCAAACCGATGGTGACCCCATGTACGACAGAGTGCAGCAGGTGGCTAGTCCTGTGCCAACTTCACAATCACCAGTGTGTTTAAGATCACTTACTGCAGCTAGTGTGCCAATTCATCCCGTGCCCTCACTGGTCCTCTACTCCACCAAAATATGACAACTCCTCTAATAATTGGTCCTTCCTGATGATATGTCAAAAGCAAGAGAGTTGGCTACATTACTATCATGATCTATAAAGTTTTCATTGGCTGATTTTTAGACATAGATTGCCAGGTCTTTCTTCCTAGTCTCTTAGTCTCGAAACTCTGTCTGAAACCTGTCCACCATAAGTGATCCTGCTGGGATTTGAAATACCAATAGCATTGTTTACAGCATCACAGCAACATATAAGCCACCACAGTATGACAAACTGACAGGCGATGGTCTTCATCTCAGGAGTGGACTAATGGTACCCACCTGAAGGATTTATCATTAGGCTTAAATGGACTGGCAGTGGTGCTGGGCCTGGCACCTACAAAGATGACTATAGATTCGACTGCTGTTTCCATTATTACCTTTCCAGCCTCCAGGAACTCAAGCATTGGGTGAAGAAGCTACAGCCGGAAGGAGGGACTAATGTGCTACAAGCCCTGAAGAAACTCTTCACCATAAAAGGCCTGGATTCTCTGGTCATCATCATGGGAAGCTGGTAGGTCTGCTTTCGTAAGTGTGACAGGCTGCGTGAAGGAATCAGAGAAACAAACTCTGGTTTGACTTAAGATCATCAAGCAGGATTCTCCTTCATACACCCTTGAGACAGGAGTTGCCCACCCATCCACAGATGTTGGGGAGGAAGCAGCATCCGGAGACAGGGAAGCCAGGCAGGTTAGGCTTGAGTCCACCCAGCCCAGCACCTTACACAGGTGCCCGGACACAGGTGGTCAGATTTGACAGTTGCCCCCCTGAGAATTAGTATTTTGCTCTGGAATGTCTGCAAACTGATTTGACTTGGGGTGTTCCCCCTTCTCTTCTTTTTCTTCTTCCCAGCCCAAATCAGTCCTCAGAAATCCTGTCTGACTACATGCAGCAATCCATGGTGGGAAGGAGCATCATCACCCACAGCATCACGTACAAATGCAACAATCTGGTGCCCCCTGTGAGTGCCCAGGTTCCCAAGGTTCCCCTTGGATTTGAGGACCCTGAACTGGACTCCATACCTGGATAGGGTTCTAGGTTGTAGACCAGAGCATGCCGCTTCCTCCTCTCCTCTGCCTCTCCCTGCACCGAGCTCGTCCTTTGGTCAAATGGGAGACACTGGGTAGTTGGGAGGTTGAATCAAAGAGAAAGTTAGTTAGGGAATTGACAGTGATTGCTTTAATAAGGGCTGGTCCTGTCACCATCTCTGCAGGCGGTCCTAAAGAACCTTGCAGAAGCTGTTGGGGGTTACTACCACTGCTACAGCCCGGAGACAGAGGTAGGCCTTTCTAACTTTGTCCCTTTCCTCCCCTCCCTGTCTGCCTCCACAGTGGTGCCCAGGGGGATCTAGACCAGGATAGAGCATACTTAGCCCTCCCTCCCTGTATGCAGTGGAGTTTACCAGTAAAATCAGATTAAAATGAATAGGTTGCTTATGGGGAACTGAGTTTTTGTTAAAAGTGGTGGAGTAATTTGGAAATGGATTGCTGTGGGCCAACCTTACAATCGTTGCTCTGCCTAAGCCCATAGCTGCCGCCACTTTGATAATCCATCTTGTTGGAGGGGGGGTCTTCCTCTTTTTCTCCAACCCTCCACTTTACCAAACATGATATCCTTTTCCAGTGACCCTCCTGATTATATGTCTGAAGTATGAGAGATGAAGTTTGGCCATCCTGGCTTCCAAGGAGCACTCTGGCTGCACTTCTTCCAACACAGATCTGTTGGTTCTTTTAACAGTCCTCATGCTCCTTAAAAAGACTCCGGCCTCCTTGTTTCTCTCACCCGTTAAGGAGGTTCCATACAATCTCTGCCCTTTGGTGACTGACTTATTTCACCTAACATGCTTCAAGGCTCCCCCATGTTGTAAGCATGGATCAGGGCTTAGTCTTCCTGTATGGCTGAGTCATATTTCATTGAATGTGTGTTTCAAAACCACATTTTGTTTATCCAGTCATCTATCGATGGGCATTTAGGCTTTTTCCTCTTTACATTTTGAAAGTTAGGAAATGTTTCCACATTGAAAATACTGCAGACCAATATAGTACACATGGAACAAACCCACTCCCAGACTCTCTCTGGCCCATCTTGAACACAAGTTTGTGAACTGCCAGGAGCCAAGTGACTTCTGTATTGCTGCTTCCCACCTGTCAGATCTACACCAACCGGGAAATAGAAGAGATCCTGACAGAAATCCAGAAAGCCCAGAGCCTGTTCCATCATATCCAAACCCTGAGCCCCAGCGGCCCTGGCAAGGGATTCACTGGCCTGATGAGGGAGGTAGGTCGTATGAGCAGAGGTTCTGGGGCCTTCCCAGAGGCCCTTAGGACCCCTGTCATGGGACACCCTCACTCTGTCCCCCTCTCCAACCTGCGTCTCAGAGCTCACAGTCTTAGAGGTGCCCTCACTTCCTGTAAGCGAAGTCGGCCAAACTCCTGTCAGCTTGTACCCTGTAGCTCTGAGTTGTGTGGGCAATATGAGTTCTCCAGGATGCAAGGATTCTGGTGGATTTTCTAACTGAAAAAAAATCATTTCAGAGGAAGACTAGCATGCTCCAATCACCATCATCTCTTCCCCTTCTCCCCACTTTGGAGATGGATGGAAAAACTCAACCCCATGAAGTAGGCTGTCTTGAAGATCATCTTTTCCTACCCTGGCACCTTGTTTAGGTCGCACATTCTTGCTTGGCGACTTACTTAGCATTGGCAAAATAAACTCAGGCTTACAAACTCAAGCTCCGTAAAAGCTAAATGCTGCTTAGACTGAACAGAAAACTTCACTCTGGTCAGAAGGAAACTGAGACTACATATATAGTTTCACTGAGTGAAACGTGGATACGATGGACCAGGCGTTTTGGCTTGTCTGGACGTGGCGTAAGAAGCACAGGACTGAGAAATAGCGAGTTCCAGCTCTTCTACTGATTAACTATGTTGTTGTTGTTAAGTGCCATAGAGTCGGTACCAACCCATAGACCCTGTATAAGGTTTCCTAGGAGTGACTGGTGAGCTTGAACGGCTGGACGTCGCAGGTCCAGCGCATAGCGCCACACCAGGACTCCCTGAGTATAAATAGTACTGAATATTAGCATGAATTATAGCAGTTGTCATTTATTACATGTTGATGATGACTTCAGTAGTCCTGTGGAAGTTCTGTGGAAGTCCTGGTAATGCTGCGGTTAAGCTTCTTCTCCGGAGATAGATGTGGCAGTCGGCTTCCGTAGACGAGAGTCTTGGAATGCCTATGGACGGTTCTCCTCCGCAGTCGGCTTCCTTAGATTACAGTCTTGGAATGCC